ACACCCAGCCAAGAGCAGCTCTCTGGAAAAGGGTGGGCAGCCTTTTCCTCTCTTAGCTCTGCCCGAAAAGCAGCAGCTCGGCTGGCTTCCCTCTCTAAGGGACCCCCCGCCTGCCTGCCATCCTCTCTCAGGGCCTGGAGGGCATCCCTCTTCCGCGTCCTCCTCCTCCTCTTGCAGCCAAAGAGAAAGGAGGGGAAGACCCCGAGGAGTTTAGCTCCAGGTTGGAGCAGGGAAGGAAAGGCACCTTCGGAGGGGGGGGGCATGCAAGAAGAGGTCGTCCCAGTGGTTCTTTCCAGGCTGCGGAAGGTCCTTCTAATGTAGCCACACTTCCACTGACCTTCTCCGGCACTGCTTGCTTGTCACGGACAAGGTTCTTAACCAGTATGGCCACGCTCCTCCACTTTTAAACACAGTTGCATTTTAAACTGAGATACTTTTAAACTGTTTTATAGGCTAACAGTGTTCTAACATTACAATGCAGTGCTATTTTTTATCATTCTTGTCAGGGGCTTCTGACTTTCAGCAACCCTAATGGGGGTGGGGGTGGGGGCTGAAGTGCCTAAGACCTTCAAGGAATCGTTCACCTCTGCCGCTCAAAAGGGAGCTTCAAAGGCTGAGCAAGGATGTGAACACAGGTCTCCCGAGTCCTAATCTGATGCTCAATCCACTGTACCACACCGGCATACTCAACATTTTGTTGGCACCTGGTTTTAATTACGTTGTTTGCTCCTGGGGTCTCAGTTCTGGCAGAAAAGTGGGGTATAAATCAAATAGATAGATAGATAGATATGTAAATCCCCAAATAGACAGACATATTTCTGAATCCAGAATTATCCCCATTAGAGGATCATTAGAGAGGTCACTTACATCCTCCTGTTTCAGAGGAAACCTTATTTATCAGCACACTTTGATTGATTGATTGACTGATTGATTGACTGATTGATTGATTGATTGATTGTATTTTTACCCCGCCTATCTGGTCAGATGACCAATCTAGGTGGCTAGAGTTCTCTGGAACTGCCCAGATATGGGATATATCAGCACGGTGCAAGCAATAAGAAATTCTGTAAATTTTTCTTCTTCTACAATTCAATCGCTGTTGATATTTGAAGGTTATTAAAGCGAGGGCTTGAGTCAGTAGCCCAAGTGTATGTGTGTGTAACCATTGCAATATAAAGTGCCTCTGAACACATGCAGAGTGAAACTGTTGCCTGCTCCCACATCTTTTCAGCAACACCCCCAGATCTCTGGTCAAGGCCCAAGAAAGGCAGGCTGCTCTGAAAAAACCAAGTGCGAAACTCACTCTGTAATTACAGCCCAGGAAGAACGCAGGCCGAGCCCAGAAGGAGACGCAGCTCAAAACATAATACCTGGTTTAGAACCTGTGACTCACAACCACTTGCTTTGAAACGAATCCGCCTTGTTATTGGCTCACTTTTGCCACAAGTCAACAGAATACGACCAACACACCGAGCACCGTTTCCTCCTTCTAGGTTGACAGAAGATGCAAGAGGTCTGGAAAAGCAGAACGCTCCCCCGACAGCCTCCGGGAGAAGGTGGACGCCTGGAACGGCCCAGGGACCGTTGCTTCCTCCAGAGCCCTGTGTGAGGCTTGGGACCCACTTCCCCCAACAAGCGCAAACTTGCTATTTCCAAGCAAGGAGGAAAGACAAGATGGTGACGGGTGGGGCCGCTCTACCTGCTACCTGTCAGCAGGTGCCCCACTCTCTGGAGCCAAAGCAATTCTGGGCCAGGACCTCAAAGGATTTGCAAGGAACGAGGGTGGGCGGGTGGGTGGTTGGGGCTGTCTGCCTCTGGGGACATCCTGGCTCCACCTCTGTGCTCTGCCTTCTGCCCCGTCCCCCCCACCCCCCATGGGCAGTGCGCTACCCCGTGAAAGCCCTCTCCTCTATCAGACTCCTTGGGCACCGTCCTCCACTCATCCCGGCAGGCAGGCGAGCAAGTGGGAGATTGAAACATCGGCGCGCACCGTCTGCAAAGCTCAATGCGGCGGGGGCAATGTCAGGCCGAGCACCTTCCGGGAGGGGCGGGCGGGTCCAGTTTCCTGGCAGCCGCAGGTCATCTTTGACACTCCCCCCCCTCTGAAAACCACTGGCTGGAGGGGCACCCAAAGGTGTTTTGCGCTGGCAAGCAGCCTCTGCGGCTGCCGTCTCGACACCCAGGCACTCTGTTCCCAAATGCCCAGGGAATAAAGGCTTTCTCCTCCTTCCACTTCTAGGCAAGGCAGGATTGCTATGATTGTTTGAAAACCAAGCCCGCCGCTGCTCCCTTGGCAGCGACGGCGTTGCGCCCATTGCCTAAAAGCAGGAGGAGGCTTTTCGAGCCCCCGGGTTCCCCACCAGGCAAAGCACGGCTCCTGCGTCTTTTGCTTCCCCAAAAGAAAGCACACACATAATTATCCCAACGAGAGGTGGTGTGTAAACATTGAATCAGGCCTCCTCAGCCCAGCTGGTGATTGGAATGCAGAGACCACACACAGAACAACGATCCGCTCCGCATGGCCCTGCTCAGCACGGGGACCCAGGACCAAAGCAGGATGAAGGGGGAGGCGGGAGGGCCTCGGGTTTTGCACAGCAGACAGGCGGCCTCTCCGGGTGGGGAGGGGTCAGCAAGGAGCGTAGGGCCTCGGGTTTTGCACAGCAGACAGGCAGCCTCTCCGGGTGGGGAGGGGGCAGCAAGGAGCGTCCATCCGGGGCACTCAAGGCACAGAGGCCATCAAGCGGTCAAGGGAAGAGGGACGAAGCCGCGTGCCTGCATGTGTGTGTGTGTTTGGGGGGGAGGGAGAGAGGTTGCCAGAGGAGTCAGAACAGGGGAAAGAGCAATCTAATTGTAATAACCGTGTAACATTAGAATGGCAGAGCTGGAAGAGGGACCCTCTGGATCATCCGAGTCCAGTCCTTGTCAAGGAGGCCCCAGTGGGGGAATCGAACTCCCAACCTCCTCAGCCAGAGACCGAAGCCTCTGAGCTACCTGCAGCCTTTCCTAGCCCAGCGTCACGCTGGAGAGCCAGCAAACGGATCCTGGAGGGTCCTTCATCCTCACTGACCAAAATCCCCCAACCCCTCCCCGCAATCAGAATCCAGTCGCACTAAAGTCGTGTCCGCAGGAGGGCGGAGCCTCCAGCCTTCTGGCCAGCGACTTGGATGCCGGCGACGTTCCGGAAATTTCTGAGTCATCCTGAATAGGACTGCATTCCAAACTTTGCTCTCTCCCCCCCCGCCCGCCCCTACTTGGACCGCCAGATCATTCAACCGGCGCGTCTCCACCAATGGCTGTGAGTGAGACAGGCACCGTTGCCCTCAAACACAGAGTCAGACCCGTTGTCTTCCAGCCGCCCACTCCGTGTCTGCAAGAAGGAAGACAGGATGGGGCCCAGGGGCTTGGTGGCCCTCTCTACCTTTGCATGGCATGAGGAGGCCGGGGCTTGGAGCACAAACGAATCACGCAGCAAGGTGCACCCCACGCCCCAGGTCTCCTGGAGGGCTGGTCTACGTTTGGAGTGGATGCATGGCCTGGATTTCACAGAGACCCCCCTCCACCTACATTGCGAAGTGTTGGGCAGGACCCCATGTCTTTGGAGGCCTGGTCTACCTCCATTGTGGCATGGCTAGAGAGAGCCAAGACCCCCAAAATTCCAGTCTATCTCTGGTGCAGAACAGGTAGACTGGGCCCCAGGCCCTGTGGGGACCCCACCCAGCATCGTAGAAAGGCTGCCCAGGGATCTTCTACAGGATCACCCGTCAGCATCACACAGGGGCTGTATTAAGCCGGATGTTAACTGTTACACTAGGATCATTTCTCAGGTTTTCGAGCTTTTCCCCCAGAGCAGATGGAAGCCCTGGGAGGGTTATAAGCAGATGTCAAGGACCTCTGGAGTCCCAGCACGATTCTCAGAAAGAGGCAGGGCAAAGACACACCAGAAAGCCTCCGGAACGTTGCCTTTAACAACCCCTGGTTTGCCCAGAGGCAGGTGGCGGCTGGTGCTGCTCGGGGAGGCCAGTCTCCGGAAAAGAGGCCCGGTCGCTCAGCCAGGGAGAGGGCCGTGTGTGGCCCCGTGCCCGTGCGGGTGCGACCGCGGGAGAGGGAGAGAGAAGAGGAGGCACTTACCGCTTTGGGCTTGAATGGGGGCTGAATCTCTTTCCGTTCCAGTTTGTCCCAGTCGATGTAGCGGAAAAAGGCGTGCTCCTTGATATCGCGCTCTCCTTCGGGGCCGCACCCCAGGCGCTTGGCTGGATGCTTGGTCATGAGCTGGAAGAGAGAACAAGAGGCAATGGGGGGGGGACGTCCAGGTCTTCCTCACAAGCACGTGGAACCTGAAAATGTGACCACAAACCGTTCCTGCTGGGTTTTAAGCAAAGGCACACGCCATGAACAGGAAAAACATTGACAGTCAGAAGAGGGTGGCCTGCGAGAATGGCTTCGCCTTTGCCTGTGCCTTGCCCTGCATGAAGTTCAGCCATCAGAGCAACCCCACGACCACCGAGGAGACCCCCCTCGTTCCTTTTTCTGTCCTGATGTCCAGACTATGCAGGCAAAGCAGGCTGCCCAAGGGGGTCAAGGGCCAGTTAAGCTGACACTGGGCTAGCTGAAGTTGGGGCAGATCCAGACCCTTCCAGAGGCAAAGGGTGAGTGGGTGGAAATGACCCGCTGGTGGAAGAGGCCCCCGCACTCCAGCCTCGCCTTGCGTTGTCCTCGTAGCCACACTGCTGGGCTGGAGGAGGCAACCAACGGCTTTTAACTGTAATTTCCCCAGTGCTGGGAGGCCCATTCTGTGGGAGCCCAACCTGGAAAGGGTAGCCAGAAGTCAGAATTGACTTCATGGCACACGACAATTGTTAAGATCTCCCTCAGGGTTTTCAGAGAAGTAGCTTTGGGAAGCAAAATCTGAAGGCAAGTGTTTTTTCTTGATCAAGCAGGAGAAGGCGAGGGCGGATTTTTGCCCCATCTGGAATTGCCTAAGAAGCCACGTTTCTAACTGTGGGAAGCAGGCACCACCGAATCTCACCCTTGCCACGAGAAGCTTGCAGCGCTGCCCACGCAGTGGCAAGGCAAGCCCTGTGAAAAACAGCACCAGAGGAA